TATTCGGTCTTCGGTCTGACATCCTCAGCTTTAAACTAAGTGCAAAGGATGCTTACTGGGTCCTGTTCAAAAATGAGAGGTGTGTGCAATTTCAAACATAGCCCTCCCCAGGGACTTTGAGAACCTTGACCTACATGGCATTGCAGAGATTACATCTTTCTAGCGGTCAAAACAAAACAAACATTAAATAGAAACGAAAAACCAAAACAGAAATTTGAAAATTCCCCCAAATCCCACACCAAACCCCACACTTCAAGTCCTTCTTTTCTGGCTTGAGGAGGGAATATTGAGGGTGGGGTGGAGGGGTCCCGCTGTGCCATGAGGAGGGAATATTGAGGGTTGGGTGGAAGGGCCCCGCTGTGCCATGAGGAGGGAATATTGAGGGTTGGGTGGAAGGGCCCCGCTGTGCCATGGGGAGGTTGGGTGGAAGGGCCCCGCTGTGCCATGGGGAGGGAATATTGAGGGTTGGGTGGAAGGGCCCCGCTGTGCCATGGGGAGGGAATATTGAGGGTGGGGTGGAAGGGTCCCGCTGCGCCAACAGTGTGTGAAGCTTGTTCAGGGCCGGTTTTCATTTTCAGCCTTGACACCCCAGAGTCAGGGAGGAAAAGTAACTTGGTAATTTTGCTGCAGCTGCAAAGAGCTGAGCCTGAGCATGATTTGGCAGCATCCCCAGGCAGGGGGTGGGGAAAGGGATTCAGCCCAGGGGCCCGTTCATCTCGTTGTGAGGTTCTGCCACTGATGCGCCACCATCTTCCCACCTGAGCTCCTCCAGTGCCATCTCCTCGCTGTGGCCGGGCTGCTCTAACACCGCAGATCTGAAACTGTTGTGCTGCTGCTTAAGCCTTGGCAAGGCTTCCCCTTGCTCTTAGCCTCAGAACCTTTGTAGAACCTGCAAAGCCTTGCGTGCCCTAACAAGCTCCTTCCCCAGTCACTGGCACTCTCCCTCCCCCTCCCGCCTTAGCGCCCTAGCTGGATGCTCCCCAGCCTCCTCCTGCCTGGTGACCGCATTTCACCCTTCAGCCCCGGCTCCCACCACGTGCTTTGGCCCACCCTGTACCCCTCACGGGCCTCTCTGCCTGTCCAACTCTCTTCCCTTTGCTTCATGCCCTCCCCCTGTTCCTCTCTGCCTGCCTTTGGGATCCCAGGCACAGGGCTTGCGTCCTTAGACTGTGATTAAGCGCAGACACCACCTGGGAGTCTGGATTCAGATCCTGATCCTGCTTTCATCACCAACCGAGAAGTCACACGACTCCTCGGAGCTTTGGCTTCCCCAGCTGTGAGATGGTGGGAAGAATGTCGACTTTATACGACTACTGGGAGAATTCACTGAGAATTCGGACATGCAGACCACAGTATTGATTGGACACTGCAGGCTCCCAGCAAATGTTCCTTCCCTTTTCTCTTTCTACGTAAGGTAGAAAACTCGTGCATACCTAGGATTGCATAGCCCAATGTTCATGTGTGACGTGGCAAGTGCATCTACATAAACATGGGCTTGGGATTGAGAAGATTTGGATCAACAGCTGGTGGCACCACTGACCAGCCAAACAGTGTCAGAAACTGTGAACTTCAGAGTCTGTGTATATGAATCTGGTAATAATGTTCATACCTCCCAGGGTTGTTTTAAGGATTACATAAGTCAATATATGAAAGTATTTTGTAATCCTTGGAGTTTAAAAATGGTCATAACCCAGCATTTGTGATTGTCTTGCTTTCTCAGCACTCACTTGGGTGAGCTTTGCCTTGCAGCAGGTCTCCCAGTGCCCTCGTCCAGACCCTTGGTGGCATTGAGCACAGAGATGACATTTGTTGGTGCCATGAGAGCGACAGACACAGAGCTGTGCCAGACGCCTCGGGGAGGACCCGCTGCCCAACTGTAGGGGTGGTCTGCTGCCTCCCCCAGGTGTCAGCCCCTCCGGGTTGGCCTCACACCTTCCCGGAAGCAGCTTGCTTCTGGTGACTGAGCTGGGTGGGGCCTGAGGGCTGAGGTTGTTGGGGCTGCCTGGCAGCTCTCTTCTCCCTCCGCAGTCCTGCCCCCAGGAGGTTTCCCCACAGCATCCTGCACGGTGAACTCCTCAGAGCCCATGACTCAGAGAACCCAGGCTGAAACATCCAGTGTCCAGCTAGATTTCACCCTTGCAAGCCTTCACAGATACGACTCCACAGGTTGTCTCTGTGCATTCGAATTGAGAATCATCTCTGTTGTCATTGTTCAAGAAAGAAAACACCTGGGTTGTCGCAGGTTACGCTGGTCTTTGACAGGGAAGGGAGCGTTCCTTCCTGGGTGGCTCCTAGAGTGCCATGTCATTGTGTGTGTCCAGCATTGTCACTAGACTGCTGTTGGGGAGAAAGTTTCCAATGACAGGAACAGCTGAAGAGCTTCGTCTATACTCTCTTAACTCTATTGACCTTGATTCCATTATTTTCCTGCAAGAAACCGAGAATTCCTATACCACCTAAGGTGTTTCAGAATAGGAAAATAATAAAACCTCTCCCCAGTTTATTTAGCAAAGTTAGGGTAACTTACATGCCAACATCTGATAAAGACAGTATGAAGCCAGGAACACTGCGCATCAAATCCAGCAGCATTTAAAAGAATAATGCCCGGTGGCACCAGGGCTCTCAGAGAGGCTGAGTCCTGCAGGGCAAAGTGCTTGGGCTCTGAGTCGGTCGGGGCTCAGCTAAACCTCTCCAAGCGCCGGTTCCCTCCATTGTGAGATGAGAAACCCACTTCTAGGGTTTTGTAAAGATTGAGAAAGGTAATTCCTGTGCAGCACTCAGGGTCTCCCCTGCACATAGGGCCCCGGGCCAGCTGCCCTGACCAGTGTGGGAGGCTGCGTGCTGCGGTCCAGCTGCTCACCTTGCACAGAGGATTCAATTTTGAGCACTTTCCTGGGATGCCAGGACCTTCTGCACAGCCCTCTGTGATCTTGGATGTGAGGACTATATGCGGGAGTACTTGACTCTGCTGATGTTTTCAACACACAGAAACGAGTTCCCTCCCTCACACCACATTCCCAATGTGTATTCTCAACATTCAGAACCTCCTCCTAGAATTCCACCCCGCGGCTCCCAGCATGGCTCGGGACTCCAGTGGTGTTTGAGACCAGCCAGACTGTGGTTCCCACACTCGAACTGCTGGAAGGCTGTGATCATCTGCGAAGCCCAGGGAAAGCTCTGGTAGTGATATGGCCCTGTGCATCCTGCCCTGGCTTGCAGGGGCAGTGGTGCTTCTGCCAATCGTGAGTATAATGATTCTTTTAGGGGTTGAAGGTCAGTTTCAGGTGTCAGAGAAAGGAGTGGTCCAGAAACTATTGTGAAAGGCCAGGATATTTGACAAGAGGACATCCTTTGTTCTCTTTTTTGCTGGAGTAAGGAAAGCTTGTGTGGTTGATAAAGCCTGGCATGGTACGTGCAGTCCTGGAGGAGGGGTGAGGGCCTCGGGCAAAGAGGGGCGTTGTAGGGCCACAGATGAGGGCTCCCAGGCACTGGGCCTCCTTCCCAAAGAACAATCATCAGGAGACCCCAGAGACCGCCATCCGGGAGAAACGGGGTGACAGAGCCCTCTTTGAGCTGGGGAGCATTTTAGTCAGTGAGTAAGAGGAAGAGAAAAGAAGCAAAAAGTGCAACCAGCCAGAAAAATAACCAAGCAGCCACCCACCCAACCACCCCTCCAACCGGCCACCCACCCACCCACCTACCCAACCAGCCAACCACCCACCCACCTACCCAACCAACCAACCCCCACCCACCCAACCAACCAACCAAGCACCCATCCACTCACCCAACCAGCCACCCACCCACCCAACCAACCAACCACCCACCTACCCAACCAACCAACCCCCACCCACCCAACTAACCAACCAAACACTCACCCAACCACCCACCCACTGACCCAACCAACCAACCACCCACCTACCCAACCAACCAACCCCCACCCACCCAACTAACCAACCAAACACTCACCCAACCACCCACCCACTGACCCAACCAACCAACCACCCACCTACCCAACCAACCAACCCCCACCCACCCAACCAACCAACCAACCACCCACCCACACAACCACCCACCCACCCAATCACCCATCCATCCACTCACCCAACCAGCCACCCACCCACCCAATCAACCAACCACCCACCTACCCAACCACCCACCCATCCACCCAACCAACCAGTGAACCAAGCAACCAACCACCTACCCAACCAACTAACCCCCACCCACCCAACCAACCAACCAAGCAACCATCCACTCACCCAACCAGCCACCCACCCACCCAACCAACCAATCAATGAACCAAGCAACCAACCACCTACCCAACCAACTAACCCCACCCAACCAACCAGCCAAGCAACAAGTAACTATCCACTCACTTAACCAACCAACCAATCAAGCAACCACTCACCTACCCTACTAACTACCCCCAACCACCCACCCAACCAAGCAAGCAACCAAACAGCCACCCGCTCACCCACCCAACCAACCACCAACCAACCAAACAAGCAACCACTCACCCACTCAACCAACTACCCAACCAAGCAATCACTCAACCAACCAATCAACCAACCAACCAACCCACCCACCCACCAACCAATCAACCAAACAACCACTCACCCACTCAACCAACTAACTACCCAACCGACCAACCAACCCACCCACCCACCAACCAACCCACCAACCAACCATTCAAGAATGCGTTGGGGGAGGATT